TACTTCAATTGTCTCTTTGACGAGTTCGTATCTTGGTGCGGAGAATGGCAAAGCTCACTGATGATGCTGGCGAAAAGTTTTGAGAATGTATCAAGTCCACTGTCTGATGCTGGGAATCATGACAACTACTATGGCAGACGACTTCAGATTGGGTGCGTTCTACTAAGTCGCCCTGACAACAAGACCAAGTTGTGACAACGAGGTCAACCCACTTGTATAAATCGAAAGGAGACTGCGATCATACCAGAGGCCACAACATCTTGGTTTTCATATCTTCAATTAAACTACGGAAAAAAGTAACCTCAGCTCAGGCCTATTAGACATGAATAAACTAAATAAAGTATTTTTCTGAGCCAATTCTTTAATAGAAATGGGCAAAAATTAGCAAATTTCTCAAGATTAAACCCAACCTCATATTTTTCAAACTTCATAAAATAACACATAGCCGAACCTCATTATATTTCGAACATATCCATTTTAAGCACACACCAATAAAATAAGATGGAGCTATAGCATGATTCAGATGTGAAATGTTAGGATGAATCATAATTTTTTTGTTATAAGCAGGCTTTCGAGGCTACATGATCATGTATATGAGATGTATTCATCCTATTTCGTTCAAGGTGATAAAAGCTAGTTGAATTTCCCCACAATGCTGCTAGAAGACATGACTACAGTTCCGAGCTCGCCTGAACCGATCCCATCAGTACCCCCAGCGGGACTCTAACCACGTCTCGACATGCCAACCCCTACGCCACATTGCCACAAGTGCCCTTGGATCACAGTATAGATGTGAATTTCAATCAGGGCCAGTCATTTGCCCATATCACATTCTTTGGTGGCATTGTCGATGCAACAATCGACTACAGTAAATATTTGTCACAAGATCACACCCATGAAATGTAGTCTCGAAAACCATCACCGTTCATAAAAGACAAATGATTAATGTAGTCGATTGCCATAGCAAATAGAACTTCTCATGCCACCAGAGAATGTGATATGAAAAAAAGTCTGGACTTCCTTGAAATCCACATCCACCCCGTGACATAAGGGCACTCATGGCCGTCTGGGGTAGTGGCTAACGTGGCGAGATCATATTCTGTACTCTCATGCTTCGAGTCCCGAGGGGGGAGCTGATAAATCCAGTTCAGGCGAGGTCAAAAATGCAGTCCACTCCTGCTCGGATGAGAATACCTTTTGTGAGAGCAAGGCTGTGTGAAAGTGACTGGCAACTTAGGGTCTACTCATTTGATTGTGCGAAAATTCGAATAACAGTCCCTTTATCACCTCAAGCGAAATAGGGCGTACGAATCCTATTTGCATGGATCGTAAAATACTCACAAAAATTGTTAACGACGTGACCTGCTACTTGAAGCCCTTGAAGTAGCTGAACGTCGCCCAACTAAAAAGTCCGCCCGTAAATATTCGAGTTAAATGGAACTCGAAACCGTTAGGGGATAATAATTGGAAAAGAGCTTTAGTCAAAATAGGTCGCTTGAGGAGATCAAGGACTGAAAATTTATTTGCAACACCTTCGAGTCAAGTGATGCCAAGCCAAACAGAACAATGCTTGAGTCTGCAGTCGCTTTGATGTCTACATTATGCGTGTCTCCGTCGATTGCTTTTCTTAACCACACAGTTAATACAATCTGTCTTACTTTTCCTCTTTCAGGTTCAATCTCGCTTCGACTCAGCAAAATGCCGCGACCCTCAAAGACTTCCAAAAGCTGTGGCCTGCATCAGCTGGAGCCAGAGTGTCCGACAATCTCGATCTTCCGAAATAAGACAACTCGTGGCTGGTGGCCGTTGACACAGAAAATTGACGAGGAACTCGAAATAATGGTGAGCTAAATCCATATTGGAAAATTGTTGATAATTTTCGTTTATAAATAGACTTTCGAGACAAACATTAAATCAGGTTTACGGTGGTGAAGGGTTGGTAGTTGAATTTCCCCTCGATCTGATGAGGAGACCCAACTACGCAGTGAACCGAGACTGAACGAATTTCAGATATTCGCTAGTTATTGCATTACATCAAATTGTTTTTTCTTCTATTACTTCACTTGGTTTCAGGGAAAAGTGGAAGTGGAACTGGAACTGCTGACTGGCATCGACGCAGAAAACTCTCCGGCCGGCCTCGGTCGCGAAGAGCCCAGCGGACTCGCGAAGCCCAAGTATGTCCCTGCAA